AAAAAAAAAAAAAAAAACTTTAAAAAAACTAATTTTTAGAGCATTTCAGTAATTTCATATATTTTTCAAAACAAAAGAGTTGTGGCATGAAGGATTGAGTCGAGCAGGGGAGAAAAGAGGGTGCAAAAAGTGTAGAAGACTACCTGTGCCTACCAATTAAACAAAACGTAAAAAAAAATTATTTGAATGTGTTAGCGCATTTGGATTGGCACAAAAGTGAGGCTGCAGGTGATCAAAGGAGTGGTGCAAGATGCGAATTGTTGTTGGTGTGGCAAGAAGGCAGAGAATATAGAGCATTTGATGTTTAAGTGCGAGAGGGCTAAAACAGACTGGAAGATAGCTAGGCTACGCTGGAACAAAATAGACAACGACCAGGTTTGACTACAGGGATTTGTGGGAAGACCTTTTGTCATCTGAAAGCCACTGGTCATAACAAGGATAGAATTGTTATTTATTATGGTAGATGTGGAAAACAAGAAATGATTGGATATTTTGATAAGGAAAGAGTAGTGTGTCTGGAATTTGAGTGTGTTAATAGTATTGAAGAGAGAAAGGCTCAGGGGTTGTGCAATGCTAATGAAGGTTGAATCCTGTAAAACATGGAGTACGGATGCAGATTGATGCAACCAGTGCTATTATGCCCATTTCAGAAGGTGAGAGGCTGAGGGGCTTAACTTTTGCTAATGAAGTGCAGGTCCACAAATGGCTACTATCACTAGTGGAGGGTTGAGATTGTCAGTGGAGAAGGAGCTTCGGGAGCTGCCAGAGTGGCTGAGTAAAAGAGTTGATCAAAGGTGGTAGAAGGTGATTGCTTATTTTGAAGATAAAGTTTTGGCTGCTCAATGCAAGAGACTTGTTTAATTTTGCTATTTGTGTGTTAGTTGAAGATACTTTAACTTTGGGTGTTTTTGCTTGCTTTTTGTTCCTTCTTGTTTATTAGTTTGTAGCCTTTAATGTTGTTTTGTTGTGCTTTTAGTTTGTGGTTTTTCGGGCCGAGGTGGCTTTTTTAGGGGAACTCTTGTTAGATGTTCCCCTTTTTTTGGTTTTATTCGAGGTTAGTTTTTAAAGAGAGTTGGTTATAATATGTTGGTTATCAAACTTTGTAATTTCGAGGGAGCTTTATTAACATTTGATGTTTGAAAAAACCAAAAAATTCTATTAATTTATTAATATAAAAAGACAATGATATTTACTTGAAATAACAATTAAAAATTTGCAAAAGAACATTTGATTTCCCACTTATTTACTATATTGAGTAATCTTTTTTCTCCAAAAGTTGAAAAATCCCACCTAAATTAATGCACAGAATCATTTGGTCAAATATTGTGGTTATTACCTTTATTAGTCGCATGATTTTAATTTGAAATATAATATATTGACAAAACTTGCAACTATTACATTTATTAGTTTCATGGTTTAAATTTGATATATAGGCCTTGTTTGGCGATCAACGGATTGCGGATAGCGGATAGCGGATTGTATTAGCGGATAGCGGATAGCGGATTATATTAGCTGATTTGACTAGCAGATTGCATTAGCGGTTTTTAAATAAGTGTTTGGTAAATAGCTGAAAGCTTATAGCTGTTTGACATTGCAAATTACCAATAAAGACATTTTATTATTTAGAGTGTATTCTTTTAATAATAATATATTAAAAAATTTAATATTTTTAGTTGGTAATTTATAAATATTTATTTTTTTTAAAAAAAATTTACTAACAATTGATCAAGAAGTTATGAATTTTACATTTTTCTAGATAAATTAATCATATAGATGACATATTATTATTTGTTAGCATCATAAACCAATGTAGATTGTAAAATAAATAATACAAATTAAAAAATTCTAAATTAAAATTATAGACTGTGAATCCTCTATCCCCAAAAAGCTCCTCTAATGAGCTTTTTCTAAATTAGAGTTTTGGGCCTAAAAAGCTTATCAAATAAGCTATTTACCAAACAAGCTCAATAGCGAATTTGACGGGTCAAACCTCTCAATTAAGTCCAATCCGCTAATTTATCCTCAATCCGCTATCTTCCAAACGGGGCCATAATATATTGAAGAAAAATTAAAAGATTTTTATTTAAAATTAAAAATAATAAAAAAAACTAATTATTTATAATTTGCGGGTCAATATTAATTTGGACGTAAATGATATAGTCAATCATTAATAGTTTTATAAATTACCCAATAACTTACGTTTCAATATTAACTTGGACGGTAAAGTAGTTAATTATTTATAGTTTAATATATTACTCAACTAATTATTTTTATTATTTGAATAGTTTATAGAAAAATGTAATGAAACGATGTAACATTTGCCTCAGTTTGCCCGAGTGTAACCTTATTATCCTATTGGGATCGTACACTCGGACATTACCCTGTTGGGTCTTTTTAATTGTTTTAGTTTTAGTTTGAGTCTTTTTAGTTGTTTTAGTTTTAGTTTGTGTTTGTTTTCTAGCATTGCTAGTCGGGACTAGACGACCTTCTGACATGTCTTCCCACTTTTTCAGCTGTTGGCTGCTGTGTATTCAGCCGTTGGATGCTGTGTATTCGCACATTTGTGCATTTTGATTTATAATATTACCTATTATTTTGACAAAAAAAATAAAATAAAAAATGAAACGATATAAAATTTATATTTATACTTATTATTCACATAAGTTGTTAAATATATGATAGCATCTTACCTAAATAATTATTTTATGAAATCACATTATAGTCAAATAATTTCTTAATAAAACTTTGAAATTGTTGTAAATATTAAGTTGTGGACATTACCTAGATATAGGATTTGTAGGCATGGGCCAGGAGCCCATTAGGTATTTACTCATGTACATTATATTCCCTTATATATAGGGCTCAAGTTATTGAATAAGATTGTGGTTTTGACGGCGTATCTTTCTCTCTTATTCTCTTCTTCTTCTACCTTTTCTATCTTTGTCTATTTTACATATAGATTTTACATATTGTCAATCTATATTACAACACGTTATCAGCACGAGCACTCTAACCAACTGAGCGAACGACGATGGCATCAAGATAACCAAGCAATCAAGGAGACAGAAACTGATTTAGATCTACTAATCGATCAAGCCTCTTGTGATCATCAAGATCAAGATCATTAATTATGTCGTCTTCCGCATCAAGTAAGTATTTCGTATACACCAAATTATTTATTCAAGATCCTTGATGATGTTTACATGTAGTATCAGAGAATGTGTTGTGTATAAATAATTTGTTGTATGATTCATACAAGCATGATCGTATAATAGCACATATGAACTTTGCCCCAATCGTGTGGCTTATTTCCTGTTGGAAATTTCGATTATGTCTGTATAATAGGTGATGAAATGTTTTCGTGAATATCGCATCAATTATTTGCTGGAATTATTTTCGCATCAAATAAAACATGGATTCTGTACTATGAATACGGTTTCCGCATCAATGTTTTTAATTTTTGGAAATAGTTCCTATGCTGATGATGGTGTGCAAATAATTTCACAAGTTTCCAATTGCACATAAAGCTATGATTGGTGATTGTCTTTGCACCAAGGAATTATGACTGTATACTTGAAATTGTTGAATAAAATTATGGCTCTACTAATGAATTTGTCAATTTGCGCACAATATGTATGACTGCCACAAATTGATATTATTATTTACTGAATGTGGCCAATAATTGGATTCTGCAATTGAATTCTTGAAATTATTTACTGAAAAACTTATATCTTTGTTCATGAAAAGCTGATTATGAGGCCGGCCAGATTTTAGAATAACTGAGATTTATATTCGAATGATATTTTCTGAAGGCTAATTGCAGAGATTAATTAAAATGTGAATTAATATTGCCGCCCGGATGTCGATTACATATACACGAGTATGGGAAATTATTTGAGCACCCAATTACTGCTTTGATTGATTCTTATCAAATTGCGTACAGGTTTTTATTGATTTTTTCCTCCTTAATTGTAGTAAGGCCTGTAACCATCAATTATTGGATAATAAGATTCTTTTCATTATTCAATAACTCTAATGCATTAAAATACTTATCATGACTTAGTTTGTATGCATGCTTCAATGATTTAAATGTAGTGAACATGTTTTTAAATTGCCTCAAGTCTCTGTTGGTGATTTAATTGTACTGAACATGTTTTACAAGTGGCTAGCAATTGATTTTGCTATTATTTGCTGAAAGTATGTTAAAGTTGGGAATTATTGCCAAGGCATAAAATAATTGTTATGATGTCTATTTTGTATGAGAGAAAGATTATATATAAAAAGTGGTGGAAATATTGGATATAAATTATTTATGTTGTATAGCTCAATTTATGATCATATTTATAAAAAGGTTGGATGAGAAGAAAGAGATGTGCAATTATGAAATAGTGCAGTATCTATCTATCCAAATTTATAAAATTCAATTGAATACTAGTAGTCCCAGAAGGACACTATTAAATATTGATGGATAGAATAATTAGAACAATGTTTTACCTGTCGATAGCTTGTAAGTCGACAACGAATTTCTTATACACTCCCTGAAGGATCTTTTACAAGTCAATGATAATGTTTTTATATACTCCCCGATGGATCATCATCGACGTAAGTATCTCCCATAAATTCAAAATAAAGTTTTGGTATACTCCCTGCAGGACCAACACCAATACAAGTAT